TAGTGCTCTCTCTATCTCTAGCTCTTTATTTTTTATTTTTTTACGATCAGAGGAAACAAGAAGATGCTCGGTGTAGTCGTCACTTTGCTTCGTTCATCATTTAGGTTGTTTTAATGCTTTGCTTTATGTAACCCCCCCCCCCTTTTTAAATGAAAGATTTAACGTCATATTTTTCGCACTACTCTCCTTACGCCTCCCCTCTCTCTTTACCCCCCTATCTGCCCCCCCTCTCTCTCTACCCCCTCTCTTCCTACTCCATGTCTCTCTCGCTCTTTTAATTTATAACTACGACAAGTGCTGCATCTGCATGCAGCCTTCCTCACAGTCAAAACGGCCTCCGACGGGTAGCTTACATCTGCATGCAGAGCTCTCCGTCATCTGCCACCGAGCACACGGCTTCCTCCAGCGCCCACCGCTCCTTGAAGGCCGGCACGGCGTGGGTCAGCCGCGCGTGGCGGAACTCCAGCCACACCCTGGCTCCGACCAGAGTGCGGAAGATGCCCAGGCTGCTGGCTGGACGTTGCCCCTCCAGGGCCACCTTCCTCGCCCTGTATATGGCGAGCTTGGTGTAGCCGAAGAGCACGTTGACCAGCCCCTGAAGATGTTGGGGTCCGTCACCCTTCGGGTATCCAAAGATGAGGACCGTCGGGGAGAAGTGGAGGCTGAACCTTAGGAGGATGTTTCTCAGGACCTTGAACAACGAGTCCAGGCTCTTGCACTCCACGTATCGGTGCGCCACCGTCTCCACTTTACCGCAGAACCGGCACTCCGGGGACGTGTCGGTGAAGCGCGCCAGGAAGGCGTCGGTGGTGACGGTGCCGTGGGCGATGCTCCAGCTGAGGTCGCCGATGCGGTTGTACGTCGGTCTGCAGTAGATTTACCTCCAGAGAGGCCTCTCCGGAGAGACGCTGGACAGGGCTTTCCTCCAGGCATGGTCCTTGTGGCTCCTCAGGGTGTCCAGTTGGTGAAACCGGACCATGTAGGAGTAGAGCACCTTCCTCTCTCTAGCTCTCTCTCTCTAGCTCTCTCTCTAGCTCTCTCTCCTCTAGGTCAACTCAGCCTGAAATGAGTACCCGGTGCGGTGTGTAAACATCGCCACTGGGGAGACAAAGGCGGTCGGGCGTGGTGCTGGCCGCTCACCCCCTTGTGCATCGTTCCAGCCTTCATTGGCGCTCGCTAACAGCACTTGCCCCTACGGTCTGATGAAGGCTACACGGGGGGTCTTTGTCTTTGTGTGCACGGGTTCGTTTCTGTTGCGACAAAACTGAGATCTCAATTTTCGTCTTGTTAGGGACGCGTTAATTAGAGCAAGCGAGATTGTTAATTGCTCGGGAATGGAAATGACGGAGTGGGCGAGGAGTGAGAGGGGGTGGTGGGAGCAAGGGGGGTGGGGGGAGGGGGCCAGGGGAGTGGGTGAAGAGGTGTGAGGACAAGAGACGTAAAAATAACATCGCTCGCTGTGCGTGCGTCACACGTCGGCTCTGCGACTCTGTGAACGCGCGCGGGGGGAGTGGTGGCTCAGCGGTTAGCGCGCCGCGCTCACAAACACCGGCGGAGACCCGAGTGTGATTCCCACGCGAGGGACCGCCACCGCCACCGCCACCACCGCCGTCGTCACTGCCGCCACTACCGCCACCACCACCGCCACCACCGTCGCCACCACCACCGTCACCGCCACCACCGCCACCGCCACCACCACCGCCGCCGCCATCACCGCCGCCTTTGGGCTGCGATCCGTCGAACAAACGGTTCGCAGCCCACAGAGGCGCCTCCGCGGCCGTCTGGAACCCGCTCTTGCCTTCCCGTATTGGGAAGCCCACCGGGAGCTGTGGTGGCACTTTGATATGATCATCGTCATCTAAGATTGACAAACTCACTTATGTAGGACTGCTGCTCGTTGTTGTGTTTAGTTTGTTCCCCCCCCACCCCCCCCGCCGGCGGCGCCTCCGATTAGCGCGGTTGGCTACGTACGGCGCGAAAGAAGTTCAACACACGCACGTACACAGACATACACACACACGTACACGTACACACACACATGTACACGCACACACACACACATGTACACGCACACACACATGCACCCACACACACGTACACACACACGTACACACACATACACATACACACACATACACACACACGTACACACACATACACACACATGCACACACACACACGTACACACACACGTACACACACGTACACACACACAAGTCCACACACAGGTACACACACATACATACACGCGTACACACACACGTAGACACCAACAACAACCGCCATTCACCACAAAGTGGCGATGACGTCAACCACGGCGCTTGTGCCAGGCTATGTGCACGTTGAGGCCACGTGAAGTGTCGAACGCCCGCTGGAAGGAGGTCACGGGGCACAGCCAGATGCCACAGGTCGACTGACTGAGATGACTGAGATGACTGGCTGATGCACCACTTGTGCCCCCTACTGTGCCAACTTGCTGTGCTTTAGCAACTTGGCGCTCCGCTTGTTGTTGTGAGTGTCGAGCCTCCGCCCTCCGTTGTTGCTGGAGGGTGACTGCCTCCAACTGCCCAGCAGTAGCGTCCTGCACGAGCCTCCTCCACAGAGGCCGATCTTGACATCGCTGGTACCAGTCAATGGCCAGTCCACTCAGCTCCACGTCCTCCTGTACCACATCACTCCATCTCTTCTCTAGCCCATGCCGCGCCCGTTTAGCTCCGTCGATCCGGCTTAACAAAAGCTGTTTAGGCATTCGGTGGTTGGGCATGCGGGCTACATGACCCAGCCAACGCAGCCTTGCCTGCCGGAGGAGCTCACCGATAGGACTTTGTCCAGATCTTTCAAGGATTTGTGAGCTCCTCACACAGCCTGCTGGTTGGAACCAGGGTGGATCGTAGGCAGGCCCAGCCTGAATGTTTCTAACCGGCAAAGATGTTCCATTAGAGAGGGGGTTCCACTTAGACACACACACACGCGTAAACAGACACACACACGTAGACACACACACGTAGATACACACACACGTAGACACACACACACGTAGACACACACACACGTAGACACATGCACACGTAGACACACACAACAACAACTGCCATTCGCCACTAAGTGGCGGTGACGTCACCACGACGCTTGTGCCAGGCCATGTGCACCTTGAGGCCACGTGAAGTGTCGAACGCCCGCTGGCAGGTCACGGGGCAGACCGAGGTGCCACGGGTCGACTGACTGAGATGACTGGCTGATGCACCACCTGTGCCCCCTACTGTGCCAACCTGCTGTGCCTTAGTCACACAGCGCTCCGCTCGTTGTTGTGAGCGTCGCTCCTCCGCCCTCCGTTGTTGTTGGAGGGCGACTGCCTTCAACTCCCCAGTAGCGTCCTTCACGAGCCTCCTCCACAGAGGCCGATCTTGACACCGCTGGTACCAGTCATCGGCAAGTCCACTCAGCTCCATGTACTCCTGTACCACATCACTCCATCTCTTCTCTAGCCCGTGCCGCGCCCGTTAAGTCCCCTCGATCCGGCCGAGCAAAAGCTGTTTCGGCATACGGTGGCTGGGCATGCGGGCTACATGACCCAGCCAACGCAGCCTTGCCTGCCGGAGGAGCTCACCGATGAGACCGTGCCCAGATCTTTCAAGGATTTGTGAGCTCCTCACACAATCCAGCCTGGTTAAACCCAGGATGGATCGTAGGCAGGCCAGCCTAAATGTTTCTAACCGGCGAAGATGTTCCATTAGGGGGGTCCACGTTTCGCAAGCGTAGAGAAGGGAACGAATGACCGTGGCCGAGAAGACCTGAAGCTTATAGCGGAGCGACAGACCAGGTAGCTTCCACACAGCGTTACGCAACCGATGAAAAGATATTGCCGCTCGACTGATTCGGAGTGAGACCTCTGCTGTTAAACTGGAGCCGATCATAAGCACACTGCCCTCTCTCCACAACTGCCGCATCACCGATTGGGAGTGGTGGGGGTGGAGTGTCCGATGGTACAAAATACCCAGGCAGGTGCTTAGTTTTGGTGGGGCTGATGGTAAGGCCCCACCTCTTAGTGGCACGCTCCAGTCTCAGCAGCGGCGTGTCCAACTCCTCCTCTGAATGAGCGGCTATTACCAAATCATCGGCATACATAACGTGGTTGACCAATAGGGAGCCATCCCTTGACCGCACCTGGGCATCGATCAGCCTCCCATTATATCTGTACCATATGGAGATTCCCCCAGTACAGCTATTGAAGGCTTCACGAACTACGTGGTCAAAATAGATGTTAAATAATGTGGGAGCCAGAGGACATCCCTGTCGCACCCCAAGGTGTACAGGGAATGGCTCTGACTCCCGGCCACGTAGTTTTACCCGGGCCCGCTCACCATCATGAAGGTCCTTAATGATCGTGAGCAGAGGGTCAGGCACTCCAAAAGCACGAAGAACAACCCAGAGCCCAGGCCTACTGATGCTATCATAGGCCTTGACCAGGTCAATAAAGCAGAGATGTAGGTCTTGCTGGAATTCCCTACACCTCTGCTGAGGCAGACGGACAGAAGATATGGCATCTGTGCAGGACCGCCCTTTCCTGAAACCGCATTGGGGCTCCGCAAGCCTCTCCTCAGCGTGCCTGGCAAGGCGATGTTGAATAACCCTTGCCAGGACCTTTCCCGGCACACTGAGGAGTGAGATGCCCCTGTAGTTGTTACAGTCTGTGCGGTCCCCCTTCTTAAAGAGGGGGACCACCAGGGCACACACGTAGACACACACACGTAGATAGACACACACACACGTAGACACACACACACGTAGACACACACACACACGTAGACACACACACACGTAGACACACACACGTAGACACACACGTAGACACGCACACACACGTAGACACGCACACACACAAGCTCTTCTCACAGTTCTCCCTACCCTCCAAGTCTACCTCTCCATCCTCCACCGCACCCCCAAAACCTAACCCCGCATCTCCGCCTTTGTATCTCCCTCCCCCCCCATCCACCACTAAGCCTGCAGCGGGAAGACTTCTTCATCGAGGTGCAGATCAACGACTACCTCGACGTCTCCTGTCCCCACTACACGGAGCCTGGGCCGGGCCCCGGCGGAATCCCCGGAGGAGGAGGAGGACGCCCGCCGCAGTGGCCGGCGGTCGTGCCCGAGACGCACCTCATCTACATGGTGAACTTCGACGGCTACAGCGGCTGCGAGCCACAGGGCCACGGCTTCAAGCGCTGGAACTGCAACCGCCCCCTGGCGCCCCTCGCTCCCCTCAAGTACTCGGAGAAGTTCCAGCTCTTCACGCCGTTCTCGCTCGGTTTCGAGTTCCAGCCCGGCCAGGAGTACTACTACATCTGTGAGCGCGCGTGTGTGCGAGCGTGTGTGTGTGAGCGTGTGTGCGAGCGTGTGTGCACGTGTGTGTGAGCGTGTGTGTGTGAGCGTGTGTGTGTGAGCGTGTGTGTGTGAGCGTGTGTGTGAGCGTGTGTGTGTGTGTGAGCGTGTGTGTGAGCATGTGTGTGTGTGTGTGCGTGTGTGCGAGCGTGTGTGCGTGTGTGCGAGCGTGTGTGTGTGTGAGCGTGTGTGTGCGTACATGTCTGTGTGTGTGAGGTACCGTGTGTGGTACTGTGTGCGCGTGTGTCCATGTGGTACTATGTGTGGTACTGTGAGCGTGTGTCTGTGTGGTACCGTGTGGTTGTCTGTGTGTGGTACATTGTGTGAGCGTGTGTCCGTGTGGTACTGTGTGTGGCACTGTGTGTGATTGGAAAGATGCCCTGGTGGTCCCCCTCTTTAAGAAGGGGGACCGCACAGACTGTAACAACTACAGGGGCATCTCACTCCTCAGTGTGCCGGGAAAGGTCCTGGCAAGGGTTATTCAACATCGCCTTTCCATGCACGCTGAGGAGAGGCTTGCGGAGCCCCAATGCGGTTTCAGGAAAGGGCGGTCCTGCACAGATGCCATATTTTCTGTCCGTCTGCTACAGCAGAGGTGTAGGGAATTCCAACAAGACCTAGATCTCTGCTTCATTGGCCTGGTCAAGGCCTATGATACCATCAGTAGGCCTGGGCTCTGGGTTGTTCTTCGTGCTTTCGGAGTCCCTGACTCTCTGCTCACGCTCATTAAGGAACTTCATGATGGTGAGCGGGCCTGGGTAAAACTACGTGGTCGGGAGTCTGAGCCATTCCCTGTACACCTTGGGATGCGACAGGGCTGTCCTCTGGCTCCCACATTAATTAAAATCTATTTTGACCACGTAGTTCGTGAAGCCTTCAATAGCTGTACCGGGGAATCTCCATATGGTACAGATGTAATGGGAGGCTGATCAATGCCCGGGTGCGGTCAAGGGATGGCTCCCTATTGCTCAACCACATTATGTATGCCGATGATTTGGTAATAGCTGCTCATTCAGAGGAGGAGTTGGAGACGCTGCTGCTGAGACTGGAGCGTGACACTAAGAGATGGGGCCTTACCATCAGCCCCACCAAAACTAAGCACCTGCCTGGGAATTTTGTACCATCGAACACTCCACCCCCACAACTCCCAATTGGTGATGGGGTAGTTGTGGAGAGAGGGCAGTGTGCTTATGACCGGCTCCAGTTTAACAGCAGAGGTCTCACTCCGAATCAGTCGAGCGGCAATATCTTTTCATCGGTTGCGTAACGCTGTGCGGAAGCTACCTGGTCTGTCGCTCCGCACTAAGCTTCAGGTCTTCTCGGCCACGGTCATTCCCTCCCTTCTCTACGCTTGCGAAACGCGGACCCCCTAAGGGAACATCTTCGCCGATTAGAAACATTTAGGCTAGCCTGCCTACGAGCCATCCTGGGTTTAACCAGGCTGGATTGTGTGAGGAGCTCACAAATCTATGAAAGATCTGGGCAAGGTCTCATCGGTGAGCTCCTCCAGCGGACAAGGCTGCGATGGCTGGGTCATGTAGCCTGCATGCCCAGCCACCGCATGCCGAAACAGCTTTTGTTCGGCCGGATCGAGGGGGCTAAACGGGCGCGGCACGGGCTAGAGAAGAGATGGAGTGATGTGGTACAGGACGACGTGGAGCTGAGTGGACTTGCTGATGACTGGTACCAGCGGTGTTAAGATCGCCTCTGTGGAGGAGGCTCGTGAAGGACGCTACTGGGCAGTTGGAGGCAGTCGTCCTCCAACAACAACGGAGGGCGGAGGAGCGACGCTCACAACAACGAGCGGAGCGCCGGGTGGCGAAAGCACAGCAGGTTGGCACAGTAGGGGGCACAGGTAGTGTATCAGCAAGTTATCTCCGTCAGTCGACCCGTGGCACCTGGGTCTGCTCCGTGACCTCCTGCCAGCGGGCGTTCGACACTTCACGTGGCCTCAAGGTGCACATAGCCTGGCACAAGCGTCGTGGTGACGTCACCGCCACTTAGTGGCGAATGGCGGTTGTTGTGTGTGGTACTGTGTGTGTGTGTGGTGCTGTGTGTGTGGTGCTGTGTGTGTGTAGTACTGTGTGTGTGTGTGTAGTACTGTGTGTGTGTGGTGCTGTGTGTGTGTGGTACTGTGTGTGTGTGTGGTACTGTGTGTGTGTGTGTGTGGTACTGTGTGTGTGTGTGTGTGGTACTGTGTGTGTGTGTAGTACCGTGTGTGTGTGTAGTACTGTATGTATGTGGTACTGTGTGTGTGTGGTACTGTGTGTGTGTAGTACTGTGTGTGTGTGTAGTGCTGTGTGTGTGTGTGTGTGGTGCTGTGTGTGTGTGTGTAGTACTGTGTGTGTGTGTGGTGCTGTGTGTGTGTAGTACTGTGTGTGTGTTGTAGAGTGTGTGTGTCGTACTGTGTGGGGAGCGGTAGTGGTTAGCGCTACGAACCTGGCCACTCGAGTTCGAATCCCGATCACGGTCAAAACCGGTGGCGATTATCTGAACCGGTCCTGGGCCTCCCCTAGGTCGAATCGGCCTCAAATGAGTACCCGGAGCAGTGTGTAAACATCGCCACTGGGGAGACAAAGGCGGTCGGGCGTGGTGCTCGCCACCCTCCCCCTCGTGTGCCAACCCGGCCTTCATCGGTGCTGCTCGCTGACAGCTCTTGCCCCAACAGTCGGGCGCATGTTTGTCTCTCAGATTAACACGTGTGTCTGTGTCTCTGTGTCTCTGTGTCTGTGTCTGTGTGTGTCTGTGTGTGTCTGTGTCTCTCTGTGTCTCTGTGTCTGTGTGTATCTCTGTGTCTCTGTGTCTCTGTGTCTCTGTTTGTGTGTCTGTGTGTCTGTGTGTCTCTGTGTCTCTGTTTGTCTGTGTCTCTGTGTCTCTGTGTCTGTGTGTCTGTGTCTCTGTGTGTGTGTGTCTCTGTGTCTGTGTGTGTGTGTCTGTGTGTCTCTGTGTGTCTGTGTCTCTGTGTCTCTGTGTCTCTGTGTGTGTGTGTGTCTCTGTGTCTGTGTCTGTGTCTCTGTGTGTCTCTGTGTGTCTCTGTGTCTCTCTGTGTGTCTCTGTGTCTCTGTGTGTCTCTGTGTGGCTCTGTGTGTCTGTGTGTGTCTGTGTCTCTGTGTGTCTGTGTCTCTCTGTGTGTCTCTGTGTCTCTGTGTGTCTGTGTCTGTGTCTCTCTGTGTCTATCTGTGTCTCTGTGTGTCTCTGTGTCTCTCTGTGTCTTTCTGTGTTTCTGTGTGTCTCTGTGTCTCTGTGTCTGTGTCTCTCTGTGTCTCTGTGTCTCTCTGTGTCTCTGTGTGTCTCTCTGTGTCTCTCTCTGTGTCTCTCTGTGTCTCTCTGTGTCTCTCTGTGTCTCTGTGTGTCTCTCTCTGTGTCTCTCTGTGTCTCTCTGTGTCTCTGTGTGTCTCTCTGTGTCTCTCTCTCTGTGTCTCTCTGTGTCTCTATTTCTGTGTCTCTCTGTGTCTGTGTCTCTCTGTGTCTGTGTCTCTCTGTGTCTCTGTGTGTCTCTGTGCGTCTCTCTGTGTCTCTCTGTGTCTCTGTGTCTCTCATATTAACACGTGTCTCTGTGTCTCTGTGTGTCTCTCTGTGTCTGTGTATGTCTCTCTGTGTATCTCTGTGTCTCTGTGTCTCTCTGTGTCTCTCTGTGTCTCTGTGTGTCTGTGTCTCTGTGTGGCTGTCTCTCTGTGTCTCTCTGTGTCTCTTTGTCTCTCTGTCTGTGTCTCTGTCTCTCTGTGTCTCTGTGTCTCTCTGTGTCTGTGTCTCTGTGTGTCTCTGTCTCTCTGTCTCTCTGTGTCTCTCTGTGTCTCTGTCTCTGTGTGTCTCTCTGTGTCTCTCTCTGTGTCTCTGTGTGTCTATGTGTCTCGCTGTGTGTCTATGTGTGTCTCTGTGTCTCTCTGTGTGTCTCTGTGTGTCTCTCTGTGTCTCTCTGTGTGTGTCTGTGTCTCTGTGTCTCTCTGTGTCTCTGTCTCTGTGCGTCTCTCTGTGTCTCTCTGTGTCTCTGTATGTCTCTCTGTGCCTCTGTGTGTCTCTGTGTCTCTCTGTGTCTCTGTGTCTCTCTGTGTCTCTGTCTCTGTGTGTCTCTGTCTCTCTGTGTCTCTGTGTGTCTCTCTCTGTGTCTGTGTCTCTGTATCTCTGTGTCTCTGTGTCTCTGTCTCTGTGTGTCTCTCTGTGTCTCTCTGTGTCTCTCTCTGTGTCTGTGTCTCTGTGTCTCTCTGTGTCTCTGTCTCTGTGTGTCTCTGTGTCTCTCTGTCTCTGTGTCTCTGTGTCTCTCTGTGTCTCTGTGCGTCTCTCTATGTGTCTCTGTGCGTCTCTCTGTGTCTCTCTGTGTCTCTCTGTGTGTCTCTGTGTCTCTGTGTCTCTGTCTCTCTGTGTCTCTCTGTCTCTCTGTGTCTCTCTGTCTCTCTGTGTCTGTGTCTCTCTGTCTCTCTGTCTCTCTGTGTCTCTGTGTGTCTCTCTGTGTCTCTCTGTCTCTCTGTGTCTCTGTGTCTCTCTCTGTCTCTCTGTATCTCTGTCTCTCTGTGTCTCTCTCTGTCTCTCTCTGTGTCTCTCTGTGTCTCTGTGTGTCTCTCTCTCTGCGTCTCTCTGTCTCTCTCTGTATCTCTGTGTCTCTGTGTCTCTCTGTGTCTCTCTCTGCATCTCTGAGTCTCTCTGTGTCTCTCTGTGTCTCTCTGTATCTCTGTGTCTCTCTGTCTCTCTCTCTCTGCATCTCTCTGTCTCTCTGTGTCTCTCTGTGTCTCTCTGTGTCTCTCTGTGTCTCTCTCTGTCTCTCTGTATCTCTGTGTCTCTCTGTATATCTCCGTGTCTCTCTGTGTCTCTGTGTCTCTGTGTGTCTCTCTCTGCATCTCTGTATCTGTGTCTCTCTGTGTCTCTGTGTCTCTCTCTCTCTGCATCTCTCTGTCTCTCTGTGTCTCTCTGTGTCTCTGTGTGTCTCTCTCTGCATCTCTCTATCTCTGTGTCTCTCTGTGTCTCTGTATCTCTGTGTCTCTGTGTGTGTCTCTCTCTCTCTCCATCTCTCTGTATCTCTGTGTCTCTGTGTCTCTCTGTGTGTCTGTGTCCCTCTCTCTCTCTGCATCTCTCTGTCTCTCTGTGCCCCTCTGTGTCTCTGTCTCTCTGCATCTCTCTCTTTGCGTCTCTGTCTCTCTCTGCGTCTCTCTCTTTCTCTCTGTCTCTCTCTGCGTCTCTATCTATGTCTCTCTGCGTGTCTCTGTCTGTCCCTCTGCGTGTCTCTGCGTTTCTGTTTCCCTGCATCTCTGTCTGTCTCTCTGCGTGTCTCTGCGTTTATCTGTCTGTCTCTCTGCGTGTCTCTGTCTCTCTGCGTGTCTCTGCGTGTCTCTGTCTCTCTGCGTGTCTCTGTCTGTCTCTCTGCGTGTCTCTGCGTTTATCTGTCTGTCTCTCTGCGTGTCTCTGTCTCTCTGCGTGTCTCTGCGTGTCTCTGTCTCTCTGCGTGTCTCTGTCTGTCTCTCTGCGTGTCTCTGTCTGTCTCTCTGCGTGTCTCTGTCTCTCTGCGTGTCCTCTGCCTGTCTCTCTGTCTGTCTCTCTGCGTGTCTCTGCCTGTCTCTCTGTCTGCCTCTCTGCGTGTCTCTGCGTGTCTCTGTCTCTCTGTGTGTCTCTGTCTGTCTCTCTGCGTGTCTCTGTCTGTGTCTCTATCGGTCTGTCTCTCTGTGTGTCTCTCTGTCTGTCTCTCTGTCTCTCTGCGTGTCTCTGTCTGTCTCTCTGTCTCTCTGCGTGTCTCTGTCTCTCTGCGTGTCTTTGTCTCTCTGTCTGTCTCTGTCTGTCTCTCTGTGTGTCTCTCTGCGTGTCTCTGTCTGTCTCTCTGCCTGTCTCTCTGCGTGTCTCTGTCTGTCTCTCTGCCTGTCTCTCTGTGTGTCTCTCTGTGTGTCTCTCTGCGTGTCTCTGTCTGTCTCTCTGTGTGTCTCTCTGCGTGTCTCTGTCTGTCTCTCTGCCTGTCTCTCTGCGTGTCTCTGTCTGTCTCTCTGTGTGTCTCTCTGCGTGTCTCTGTCTGTCTCTCTGTGTGTCTCTCTGTGTGTCTCTCTGTGTGTCTCTCTGCGTGTCTCTGTCTGTCTCTCTGTGTGTCTCTCTGTGTGTCTCTCTGTCTGTCTCTCTGTGTGTCTCTCTGTGTGTCTCTCTGTCTGTCTCTCTGCCTGTCTCTCTGTGTGTCTCTCTGTGTGTCTCTCTGTGTGTCTCTCTGTCTGTCTCTCTGCGTGTCTCTCTGCATCTCTCTCTGCGTGTCTCTGTGTGTCTCTCTGCGTGTCTCTCTGTGTGTCTCTCTGCGTGTCTCTGTGTCTCTGCGAGCGTAGCCACAACGGCGGTGTCTGGCAGGAAGCGCTGCTTGCGACTCCGCGTCGCCGTGTGCTGCACAATCAGTGAGTGGGGGGGGGGGGGCACGGGGGGGGGCGTGAGAGGAGGGGGGTCACCGTCAGGGGGGGGCACGGGGGGCACGGGGGGGGCGGGGAGGGGGGCACCAATGGAGTCATCACCTCGGCGCGAGAGACTGCTCCTCGTGATGTAGCACCACCGCCACAACCACCACAACCACAACATCCACCACCAAAACCACCACAACCAAAACCACCACAAACACCACCACAACCACCACCATGACCACGACAGCCACCACCAAAACCACCAGCACCACAACCACCACCGCATCTCACTGTCTCCTGTTCTCTCTCCTTGTCTCTCTCTCTCCATATCTCTGTCTCTGTGTCTCTCTCTCTTCCTCTCTCTGTGTCTCTCTCTCTGTCTCTCTCTGCGTCTCTGTCTCTCTGTCTCTGTGTGTGTCTCTCTCTGTCTCTCTCTCTGTCTCTCTCTATGTGTCTCTCTCTCTGTGTCTGTCTCTCTGTGTATCTCTATGTGTGTGTCTCTCTCTGTGTCTGTGTCTCTCTGTCTCTCTCTCTGTGTCTCTCTCTGTGTCTCTGTGTCTCTCTCTGTGTCTCTGTGTCTCTCTCTGTGTCTGTGTCTCTCTATGTGTCTCTCTCTCTGTGTCTCTCTCTGTGTCTCTGTGTGTCTCTCTCTGTGTCTCTCTCTGTGTCTATGTGTCTCTCTCTGTGTCTCTCTCTCTGTGTCTCTCTCTGTGTCTCTCTCTCTCTCTGTGTGTCTCTCTCTGTGTATCTCTATGTGTCTCTCTCTCTCTGTGTCTCTCTCTGTGTCTGTGTCTCTCTCTCTGTCTCTCTCTCTCTGTGTGTCTCTCTGTGTCTCTGTGTCTCTCTCTGTGTCTGTCTCTCTCTATGTGTCTCTCTCTGTGTGTCTCTCTCTGTGTCTCTGTGTGTCTCTCTCTGTGTATCTCTCTGTGTCTATGTGTCTCTCTCTGTGTGTCTCTCTCTCTCTGTGTCTCTCTCTGTGTCTCTCTCTGTGTCTCTCTCTCTCTGTGTCTCTCTCTGTGTCTCCCTCGCCGTGTCCCAGCTCCGAGTACGAAGCCGCTTAGTCTCCCCGGGCGGTCGCGAGTCCCCCACAAGCACACAGACACCAGTGCCCTGGAGCAGGCCGGTGTGTAACCTCCACCTCGTCAGTCACCTCCACCTCGTCAGTCACCTACTCCTCCACCTCGTCAGTCACCTCCACCTCGTCAGTCTCCTCCACCTCATCAGTCACCTCCTCCACCTCGTCAGTCACCTCCTCCACCTCGTCAGTCACCTCCACCTCGTCAGTCACCTCCTCCTCCACCTCGTCAGTCACCTCCTCCTCCACCTCGTCAGTCACCTCCTCCTCCATCTCGGCATTCATCTCCACCTCGTCAATCACCTCCTTCTCCATCTCGTTAATCACCTCCTCCACCTCATCAATAGCCTCCTCCACCTCATCAATCACCTCCTCCACCTTATCAATAGCCTCCTCCACCTCATCAATAGCCTCCTCCACCCTATCAATCACTTCCTCCACCTCGTTAAGCCTCCACATCATCAATCACCTCCTCCACCACCTCATCAGTCACCTCCTCCTCCACCTCGTTAAGCCTCCGTCTACCCCACATCCTCCTACTCCACCTTGTCAAAGTCCACCTCCACTACCTCCACCACCTCCTCATCCTCCACCACCTCCTCCACCACCACCTCCTCCACCTCCTCCACCCCCTCCACTTCCACCTCCTAATCCACCCCTCCTCAGCCACCACCTCCCCCACCACCTCCTCCACCACCTATTCCACCCCCTTCTCATCCTCCACCATCTCCTGTATGTGTCCATGTGTGTATGTCTGTATGTATCTGTGTGTATGTATATGTATGTGTCCGTGTGTATGTATCTCTGTGTGTCCTTATCAGTGTATGTGTGTGTCCGTGTATGATTCTGTGTGTCCGTGTGTCTGTGTGTATCTGTATCTGCGGGTGGCCACGTGGAATGTTGGAACGCTCACTGCGGAGGAGAGGCTGCCACTCTTCTGCCGGGAGCTGGACCGGTACCGCCTGGATCTCTGGTATTCAGGAGGTCCGGTGGACCGGCTCTGGCTCCTGCCACCATGAGGGGTGGACAGTCCTCTACTCGGGGCAGAAGACTGCCAAACAACAGGGTGTGGCTCTTCTTCTGAACAAAAAATTAAGGGGGTGTGGGAGCGTGGCGGTGAGGTGTGGGAATCTGTAAGCCTCAGGCTAATTTTGGTTCGCCTTCCCAACAACCAGAGGCGAGGAGTGGTGGTCGTGGTTGCTTATGCCGCCACCGAAGATGAACATCCATGGAGGGATACAGGCAAGGCCGATGAGTCGAATGCCTTCTATGACCTCCTGTCACAGGTGCTGGCTAAAGTGGCCCCTCGGGATAGAGTCATCCTGTTGAGTGACTTAAATGCCAAAGTGGGTCATGATGCTGGCACCGGGTCTGGAGTGATTGGAAGGCATGGGCCAGATCAGCTCAATAACAACAGCAGGAGGCTGCTTGACTTTTGTGCAGCCCATGGGCTTGTAATTACCAACACGCTGTTCCGGCATCGGTGCATCCACACAACATCATGCATGCATGCTGGGTCCAAGCAAGAACATCTGCTGAACTCTGAGATGACGGAACAGCGGATGCAGGCCCATGTCCTTGACACCAAGACCTACTGTGGAGCTGATCTTCCCACTGACAACCGGTTTGTCATCTGCAAGATGCGCCTGCCATTCTTCCACTCCAGTGGTGGGTGTATATACAGGACCCTATTCAAATCCACAATGGCCTGGTCTCAGCTAGATGATTAAAGTTGCAAGCGAGAATTTCATCATCTTGATTTAAAGCTTTCGTGACTGCAGGGATTCATATTCTTGGTTCTTTCGGTAAAGTCACATAGAAGGGAAACAATAAAATAATAAAAATATAAAACAATAAAATTTTCACGACGTTTCGACAGCGACACAAGCAATCATCATCAGGTGTGAAAACCACAGCAATACATTTTCTTGCTGTGGTTTTCACTCATAGGGGGTGACTTCTTCCTCCAATATTTGAGGCACTGCAGCCTCAGCAGGGTCATCCCCACTTTTCCCCATGGTGTTTTTCCAGGATTTCCCCGCCCCAAGACCTCAGAAAATGTTCTTGCTGTGGTTTTCACACCTGATGATGATTGCTTGTGTTGCAGTCGAAACGTCGTGAGAATTTCATTGTTTTATTTTTTTATTATTTTATTGTTTCCCTTCTACCTGACTTTACCGAAAGAACCAAGAATATAATTTCATCATCGTTTGCAGCTGGGGTTGGCATCGTCACCCACTATTCCTGATGCCGAGGGGAAATGGGCGAGGTTTAGGATTGTGGTTTATGCAGGTGCTATGGCTGCTTTGGGTACACGGTCCAAACCTCCCCAGAGATCCTGGCTGACAGAGGGGGTGTTCGTTCTGGCTGGCTGAGAAAAAGCGTCAGACCCACTCTCATTGTCTACAGCATCCCACATCAGAGAATGAGGATTACCGCAGCCTTCGCTCGGCGGTTCGGAGAGCCGTGAGATGCTGCAAGGATGGGTGGTGGTCACGGGTTGCTGAGATGGAATATGCCTCAGTGGCAGCGATCACAAATCACTCTTTAATTCCATCCAAAAAGTAACTTGTAGTGCCACACCTATCACCATCATTAGGGGAAAGAACGGTCATCCAATCTCTGACCCCCAGGAACAGATTTGCAGATCTGATGGAGCTTTTTGTGAGGTCTTGGGGCAGGGAAATCCATCAGCCTGGAAAAACACCATGGGGAAAAGTGGGGATGACCCTGCTGAGGCTGCAGTGCCTCAAATATTGGAGGAAGAAGTCACCCCCTATGAGTGGCTGGCAGAAGCGCCATCTATTGAGGAAGTATAGAAAGCGATCCAGAGTCTGATATCAGGAAAAGCACCGGGCAGAGATGATCTCCCAAGCGAAATGCTGAGGGTGGCGTTTGTGCGCAAGCTGTCCTACATGACGTCATAATAACAATCTTGACCACTGCACGGGTTCCGCAGGAATGGAAAGATGCCCTGGTGGTCCCGCTCTTTTTAAAAGGGGGACCACACAGACTGTAACAACTACAGGGGCATCTCACTCCTCAGTGTGTCGGGAAAGGTCCTGGAAAGGATTATTATTCAACATTGCCTTTCCAGGCACACTGAGGAGAGGCTTGCGGAGCCCCAATGCAGTTACAGGAAAGGGCAGTCCTGCAGAAATGCCATTTTCTGTCCGTCTGCTACAGCAGAGGTATAGGGAATTCTAACAGGACCTACATTTCTGCTTTATTGACCTGGTCAAGGCCTGTGATACCATAAGCCATGACCAGGTTGTTCTTTGTAGTTACGGAGTCCCTGACTCTTTCCCCACAATCATGAAGGACCTTCATGATGGTGAGCGGGCCTGGTTAAAGCTACATGGCCGGGAATCGCAGCCATTCCCTGTTCACCTTGGGGTGCGACAGGGATGTCCTCTGGCTCCCATATTATTTAACATCTGTTTCGACCACGTAGTTCTTGAAGCCTTGATGGCTCTACCGGAGGAATTTACATCTGGTAAAGAAACAATGGGAGGCTGATCAGTGCCCGTGTGTGGTCAAAGATTGCCTCCCTATTGGTAAACCATGTTATGTATGCTGATGATCTGGTAATTGCTATTCACTCAGAGGAGAATTTGGAGGCGCTGCTGCTGTCAAACCGGCTCCGGTTTGACAGCAGAGGTCTCACTCCGAATCCGTCGGGCGGCATTGTTTTCATCGGCTGTGTAATGCTGTGTGGAAGCGACCTGGTCTGTCGCTCCACACAAAGCTTTTGGGCATTTCAGCCACAGTCATGCCCCCCCTTTTATATGCTTGTGAAATGTGGACCCCCCCTAATGGAACATTTTCGCTGGTTAGAAACATTTAGACTGGCCTGCCTATGATCCATCCTGGGTTTAACCTGGCTGGATTGTGTAAGGAGCTCACAAATCCTTCAATGATCTAGACAAAGTCCCATCGGTGAGCTCCTCTGGCAGGCAAGGCTGCGCTGGCTGGGTCATGTAGCCCGTATGCCCAGCCACCGCATGCCTAAACAGCTTTTGTTCGGCCGGATAGAAGGGGCTAAATGGGCGTGGCACGGGCTAGGGAAGAGACGGAATAATGTGGTACAAGATGATGTGGAGCTGAGTGGACTTGCCGATGACTAGTACCAGCGGTGTCAAGATCGGCCTCTGTGGAGGAGGCTCATGAAGGACGCTGCTACTGGTCAGTTGGAGGCAGTCATCCTCCAGCAACAACGGAGGATGGTGCATAAGCCAGTCATCTCAGTCAGTCGACCGATGGCACCTGGGTCTTCCCCCGTGACCTCCTGCCAGTGGGCGTTCGACACTTCACGTGGCCTCAGCGTGCAACATAGCCTGGCACAGGTGCTGTCGTGACATCACCGCCACTTAGTGGCGAATTGCGGTTGTTGTTGTATCCGTATGTGTCCATGTTTCCGTGCCAGTGTCTGTCCGTCTCTGCCCGTCTCTGTAAGTATCCGTACGCCTCCGTGTGTCCGTGACGGCATCTGTGTGTGTATCCGCGTGGTGTCCGTAGATGAGTCCCGGGCGTCCACGGGCCAGGCGACGCCGTCTCTGGGCTCCTCGCGGTGCCGAGCGCCGCTTGTAGCCCTGCTGGCGCTGCTCACGGCCACCGCCGCTCCACACACGTAGACCGCACGCACGCACGCGCGCGCGCGCACGTAACAAATGTAGACCCCCCCCCCCCCCCCCCCCCCCCCCCCACGTACACACGTACACACACACACACGTACCAATACCCCGCCATTCGTCACTAAGTGACGGTGACATCACCACGGCGCCTGTGCCAGGCCAGGTACACTTTTGAGGCCACGTGTCGAAGGCTCGCTGAACGCGCACACGTACGCACGTGCACACACGTGCGTACGCGCGCACCTCCGATGAGCACGGTTGCCTACGTACTGTGTGAAAGAAGTTCTACGTACACATGCGAAGGCACATGCGCATACGCACGGAGACGCGGCTGCTCTGCAAAAAAACGCACGCACGCACACACACACACGCGTATCCACACACACGCGCACACGCATGCGTATCCACACACACGCATGCGTATCCACACACACGCGCGTATCCACACACACGCGCACACACACGCGTATCCACACACACGCATGCGTATCCACACACACCCGCACGCTGCCCTGTGCGTGCTCGGCCCAGCGACCACATTCCGGATTCACCTCGGTGCGGTTCACGTTTCCCGACAAGCGATATCACTCTCCCTCTCCGCTCTCCCTCCTCGCTCTCACCTCGCATGCTCTCTCTTCTCCCTGTCCCTTCTCTCTCTCTCTCTCTTCCTCTCTCTTTTCTCTCTCTCTCTCTCTGCCATCTCTCTCTCTCCCTTCTCCCACTCCCTTCTCTCTCTCTTTTTTTTTTGCTTCGTTCATCATTTCGTTTTTTTTTTAATGCTTTACTTTATGTAACCCCCCACCAACCCCCCCTTTTAAATGAAAGACCCAACATTTTTTTTTTATAACTACGACAAGTGCTGCATCTGCACGCAGCCCTTCCCACAGTCCTACGGCCTCCGACGGGGAGCTTAGATCTGCATGCAGAGCTCTCTACCGTCATCTGCAACCGAGCACACGGCCTCCTCCAGCGCCCACTGCTCCTTGACGGCCGGCACGGCGTGGGTCAGCCGCGCGTGGCGGAACTCCAGCCCACACACCCTGGCTCCGACCAGAGCGCGGAAGATGCCCAGGCTGCTGGCTGGACGTTGCCCCTCCAGGGCCACCTTCCTCGCCCTGTATATGGCGAGCTTGGCGTAGCCGAAGAGCACGTTGACCAGCCCCTGAAGATGTTGGGGTCCGGCGCCCTTCGGGTATCCAAAGATGAGGACCGTCGGGGAGAAGTGGAGGCTGAACCTTAGGAGGATGTTTCTCTCTCTTCTCCCTGTCCCTTCTCTCTCTCCCTTCTCCCTCTGCCTTCTCTCTCTCGCTCTCACCTCCATTGCTCCCCCCTTTCACATTTCACGGTGAGTCAGAGACTGCCAAGGCGCCGTGGGACAAAGGAAAAAGGTCCCCCCACCTACCACGTGTAGCCCACACAGACTGTTGGGGCAAGTGCTGTTAGGAGCGAGTTGCAGCAGCGCCTGTGAAGGCCGGCACACGAGGGGGAAGTGGGGTGGGGGGCCAGCACCACGCCCGTCCGCCTTTGTCTCCCCACTGCCGCACCAGGTACACAGTAGTCCCTCCCTTAACATTCTAATCCGGTTCATATTTTGCCGCGGTGGCTAGGAGATGTTGACTCCCTCGCCTGGTTTCCAGGAGGTCGTGGGTTCGATCCCGACCCTGGCGCCTGCTGCTGTATATTTGGAGTTTGCGGTGTCTCTCTCTCTCTGTCATCATCATCACGGTGGCTGAGATGTTAACTCCCTCGCTTGGTATACAGGAGGTCGTGGGTTCGATCCCGACCCTGGCGTCTGCTGCTGCTGTATATTTGGAGTTTGCGGTGTCTCTCTCTTTCCCCCTGTGGTCGCGTCGATTTTTCTCCAGCTCCTCCAGTTTTTTCCCCTCCACGTTTAGAATCAACATCACCACGCATTTAGAGTCATTTGGCCCGCTTATACATTTCCATGCGGCGACGACGACGACGATGATGCTGATAGGCCGCCACACTTCGTTGGGGATATAATTTGCAATGGCCAGGGTCGTGTTCTGAACAAAGAGCTACATCGCAGCTCTGTGGGGCCTTACCTGGTAACATAAAAATAATAGTTTAGTTAACTAGTGTTAACCGAAATAACTGTTAATCGAAGGGGGTGGTGGGGGAGGTGGCTCTCGCAATCACTATTAATTCACTAATGAGTTGAAAAATTGAGTAAAAATCACTCAGTCTACTAGAGAGAGAGCTGTGTCCCACTGCTAAGATAGAAGACGCGTTAATGTTTAAGGAAGCCAGTGGAGGTTTGAACCCTTTCGCGGATGGTCGTCGCTGATTGGCTCCACCCCCCCTCCCGCCCCACTTAACCGGCGGCTCGGATTGGCTGAAAATCGGCGCTGTGCGCGTGACGCAATGCAATCACGTGCCCGCGAGTCATTTTTGTTACCGTTGACGCGTTACCGTGAGTCTAAAATGTTAACGTTGATGCGTTACCGTGAATCAAAACATGTTACCGCTGACGCGTTACCATGAGTCAAAACATGTTACCGTTGACGCGTTACCACGAGTCAAAACATGTTACCGTTGACGCGTTACCATGAGTCAAAAAATGTTACCGCTGACGCGTTACCATGAGTCAAAACATGTTACCGTTGAAGCGTTACCACGACTCTAAACATGTTACCGCTGACGCGTTACCATGAGTCAAAAAAATGTTACCGCTGACGCGTTACCATGAGTCAAAACATGTTACCGTTGAAGCGTTACCACGACTCTAAACATGTTACCGCTGACGCGTTACCATGAGTCTAAACATGTTACCGTTGACGCGTTACCATGAGTCTAAACATGTTACCGCTGACGCGTTACCACGAGTCAAAACATGTTACCGCTGACGCGTTACCATGAGTCAAAACACGTTACCGTTGACGCGTTACCATGAGTCAAAAACATGTTACCGCTGACGCGTTACCGTGAATCAAAAAATGTTACCGCTGACGCGTTACCATGAGTCAAAACATGTTACCGCTGACGCGTTACCGTGAGTCTAAAATGTTACCGTTGACGCGTTACCATGAGTCAAAACATGTTACCGCTGACGCGTTACCATGAGTCAAAACATGTTACCGTTGAAGCGTTACCATGAGTCAAAACATGTTACCGTTGAAGCGTTACCACGACTCTAAACATGTTACCGTTGACGCGTTACCATGAGTCTAGAATGTTAACGTTGACGCGTTACCATGAGTCAAAACATGTTACCGTTGACGCGTTACCACGACTCTAAACATGTTACCGCTGACGCGTTACCGTGAATCAAAACATGTTACCGCTGACGCGTTACCATGAGTCAAAACATGTTACCGTTGACGCGTTACCACGAGTCAAAAACATGTTACCGTTGACGCGTTACCATGAGTCAAAAAATGTTACCGCTGACGCGTTACCATGAGTCAAAACATGTTACCGTTGAAGCGTTACCACGACTCTAAACATGTTACCGCTGACGCGTTACCATGAGTCAAAAAATGTTACCGCTGACGCGTTACCATGAGTCAAAACATGTTACCGTTGAAGCGTTACCACGACTCTAAACATGTTACCGCTGACGCGTTACCATGAGTCTAAACATGTTACCGTTGACGCGTTACCATGAGTCTAAACATGTTACCGCTGACGCGTTACCACGAGTCAAAACATGTTACCGCTGACGCGTTACCATGAGTCAAAACACGTTACCGTTGACGCGTTACCATGAGTCAAAAACATGTTACCGCTGACGCGTTACCGTGAATCAAAAAATGTTACCGCTGACGCGTTACCATGAGTCAAAACATGTTACCGCTGACGCGTTACCGTGAGTCTAAAATGTTACCGTTGACGCGTTACCATGAGTCAAAACATGTTACCGCTGACGCGTTACCATGAGTCAAAACATGTTACCGTTGAAGCGTTACCATGAGTCAAAACATGTTACCGTTGAAGCGTTACCACGACTCTAAACATGTTACCGTTGACGCGTTACCATGAGTCTAGAATGTTAACGTTGACGCGTTACCATGAGTCAAAACATGTTACCGTTGACGCGTTACCACGACTCTAAACATGTTACCGCTGACGCGTTACCATGAGTCAAAACATGTTACCGTTGAAGCGTTACCATGAGTCAAACATGTTACCGTTGAAGCGTTACCACGACTCTAAACATGTTACCGTTGACGCGTTACCATGAGTCTAGAATGTTAACGTTGACGCGTTACCATGAGTCAAAACATGTTACCGTTGACGCGTTACCATGAGTCAAAACATGTTACCGCTGACGCGTTACCGTGAATCAAAAAATGTTACCGCTGACGCGTTACCATGAGTCAAGACATGTTACCGTTGACGCGTTACCACGAGTCTAAAATGTTAACGTTGAAGCGTTACCATGAGTCTAAAATGTTAACGTTAACACGTTACCATGAGTCTAGAATGTTAACGTTAACACGTTACCATGAGTCTAACGTTGATGCGTTACCATGAGTCTAAAATGTTAACGTTGATGCGTTACCATGAGTCTAAAATGTTAACGCGTTACCATGAGTCTAATATGTTAACGTTAACGCGTTACCATGAGTCTAGAATGTTAACGTTGACGCGTTACCATGAGACTAAAATGTTAAGGTTGATGCGTTACCATGAGTCTAAAATGTTAACGCGTTACCGTGAGTCTAAAATGTTAACGTTAACACGTTACCATGAGTCTAAAATGTTAACGTTGATGCGTTACCATGAGTCTAAAATGTTAACGTTGACACGTTACCATGAGTCTAAAATGTTAACGTTGACACGTTACCATGAGTCTAAAATGTTACCGTTGATGCGTTACCATGAGTCTAAAATGTTAACGTTGACGCGTTACCATGAGTCTAAAATGTTAACGTTGACACGTTACCATGATTCTAAAATGTTAACGTTGACACGTTACCATGAGTCAAATGTTAACGTTGATGCGTTACCATGAGTCTAGAATGTTAACGTTGACACGTTACCGTGAGTCTAAAATGTTAACGCGTTACCGTGAGTCTAAA